CTCTCTCTCTCTCTCTCTCTCTCTCTCTCTCTCTCTCTCTCTCTCTCTCTCTCTCTCTCTCTCTCTCTCTGTGTCTGTCTGTCTGTCTGTCTGTATTTTTGCTCCTTCCATCAGATTGTTGAGACCCGATGTATGGGAAGATCGGACATGTTTATCGGAACACTCTCACCTCTACCATCAAATCAGCATCTGCTCGCTCCTACTCTCAGCCCTTTATTAGTCCAAAGACATGGACAACATCAGTTTCTTCTTGAATATGATGCCTGTGTAGGTTTTTTTTCTTTTTTTTTTTTTTGCATATGCCATGTTTTTTTTTGTTTGTTTGTTTGTTTGTTTGTTTTTTGAAGAAATTAAAACCTCCATTCATAGTTTCTTTTTCATTTAGGTAAATTAAGAAGACTATTGTGACACTAGAGGTTTGACTGGAAATGAGGAGATGGGAAGCAGGTTTGGGACAACTCAAAAGGGGGCTCTTTATTTTTCCTTTTTTCTTTTCCTTTGCTTTTCAGCGATTTTATCTCACTAGGCGTACACACACGCTCACACACACACGCTCACACACACACACACACACACACACACATGGCTCTGTGCTGCTCAGCTCAGCTCTCACTCTCTCTCTCTCTCTCTCTCTCTCTCTCGTGACCCTGGTAAAGAGGTCCTTACCACTCACTTCTCCCAGCTCCTCCCTCCATTCACAAACCGGCACTCGACCACGCCCCCACCTCCACAACTACTTTTACTGCCACTGTAGTAATTTGTTGGTTTTTAATTGATGTTTAAATACTTCTACAGGTTTTGGGGGTCCCTGAAGGACTTAGTGGGTAGGCCTTGGTGCTCTCACTGCCACGGCCCAGGTTCGATTCCCGGCGGGGGAACCAACCCCAGCGTAAGACAGTGCACTCCCACTGCCGGTCCCGAGCCCAGATAAAATTGGGGAGGGTTGCGTCAGCAAGGGCATCCGGTATAAAAACTGTGCCAAATCAAATACACAGACCAGTGATCCGCTGTGGCAACCCCAACACAGTTTGCTGTTAATTTGTTAATGTAAAAAGTTTGGCTGTTAATTTTTCAGTAAAAAATATGGCCCTCAATTTATGGTACTGTCATTATTTTTATTTTTGTACATTCTGCAACTGCTCTTTCACCACAAAATATACAAGCTCTATTGCAATAAACAGTACTACCATACTTTTTACAATAAAGTTCTAGCTGCCAGTTTGTTTGTTTTTTTTTTACTGTAAATTGAACAGATTTTTTTTAACAATGCATAATCTAAAACGTTAATTCAGAAAGTATCAAGTAACAAATGTTGTTGTTAATTAGGAAGTATTGTAGAAAGGAGATGGAAACTGGTTATCCAAACACTCCTGTCTATCTGACCACAGCATCTCTCTCATGTGTGCTGCTCCATATTCAGAGTTTATGCTACTTAGAACTCGGTTTCTTCCTCATGATGCGTTAGTTCCTAGTTTTCACCTGTAAACTAATAAACTGGCCAACATGCTGCAATAACTTGTGAGATTAACTTAAACTCTTAACGGTAAAATTGCACATTAAGATTCACCTGTTATCAGTTTATCTGGCATTACAACAACCCCAGGTTATTAATTATACAGATTTAACAGGTTCAGACTTTTGGCAGGAATGTATTTGCTTGTGAGAGGAAAACAGTGTAATTACTTCTGAACACCAAGGTTTCAACTGAAGGTGTATTTCTACATTGTAATTATATGTGAAACCAATGAGAGATGCTTATAGTGTGTTACAAGAAAGAGACACTTGAGACACGAATGTTGAACAAAATAAAGATAATTTATTGATTATTTAAAAGCAAACAACCTGCAATACAGCTATCATAAACCTGCCATACAGCTATCATAAACCTGCAATACAGCTATCATAAACCTGCCATACAGCTATCATAAACCTGCCATACAGCTATCATAAACCTGCCATACAGCTATCATAAACCTGCCATACAGCTATCATGGGTGCACTACTTTTTTATAACAGCAATGTCTGTTGTGTGTTATTCCTTAAACTTAAACTCCTTAATCTTAAAAACTCTTATATACATATATACATATGCTGTATACTTATATACATATTTACAAAAATACATAAATATTTGCACTAATATACTTTAGCACTAATATGCATAGCCTACACATTTTATATATATAAATTTGATTAATATACATTATACTAATGCATATGTTCTAAATACACAACATCCTACAGTAAAAAAGCCCATACATTTAACACTAACCAGATGTATATAAACTTACAGACTGATTTTTTCTTAATAATTGCTATCACTACAGCGTATGTGCTGTCTCACCACTGTACCATCCTGGCAAGTGATTCTCACCGCCCCTCATGGTTAAATGAAATAATAATGAAATACCTACCATAGATTGGAAGAAGAAAAAAAAAAGGCAAAAAGACTAATGCTGGAGAATGGGCTGAAATACTTACCAGAAATTACAGACAGACAGACAGACAGACAGACAGACAGATAGATAGATAGATAGATGATTACTTACCACAGCTACTTACCACACATTTTATTATGAATATGAAGTGATGAATATGAGGTTTTGAAGGTTATAGCTCTCTCATAAATACTGGAATAATTCTAGTCGGGATTCGGACGGGCCTCCTGAAAAAGTCCTCCTCAGTCTCCTCAACAGGATCCACATGCTGCCTTCTACTAGGAGGGGCTTCTTGATCATTGTTCTCTTCATCCCTCCTCCTCCTTATCCCCTGGCGTTGGACAGGAATCCTCATAAAGCCTACAACATAAGGCTGACCAATCACACAGTCATTTAGGTTAACCTCTATGCGAGAAAGGGGCACAGGAGAACTTGAAGGGGATGATCTCCTCAAAGGGGATGATCTCAAAGTTGATGGCCTCCTCAAAGGTGATGGCCTCCTCAAAGGTGATGATCTCCTCAAAGGGGATACACTCCTCAAAGGTGATGGCCTCCTCAAAGGTGATGATCTCCTCAAAGGGGATACACTCCTCAAAGGGGATGATCTCCTCAAAGGGGATACACTCCTCAAAGGGGATACACTCCTCAAAGGTGATGATCTCCTCAAAGGGGATACACTCCTCAAAGGGCATGATCTCCTCAAAGGGGATACACTCCTCAAAGGGGATGATCTCCTCAAAGGGGATACACTCCTCAAAGGTGATGGCCTCCTCAAAGGGGATGATCTCCTCAAAGGGGATACACTCCTCAAAGGGGATGATCTCATCAAAGGTGATGGCCTCCTCAAAGGTGATACACTCCTCAAAGGTGATGACCTCCTCAAAGGTGATGATCTCCTCAAAGGGGATACACACCTCAAAGGGGATACACACCTCAAAGGTGATGGCCTCCTCAAAGGTGATGATCTCCTCAAAGGGGATGATCTTAAAGGTGATGGGCTCCTTAAAGGTGATGGGCTCCTTAAAGACACCTCATCCTCATCACCACCATCTTGCGCTTCCTCATGCTGACCAGGCCTGTGGTCGTCATCCTCGTAGTCGCTCTGCTCAGTGTTGTAGTAAAGCTCACTGGCAGGAAACAGGTCAAAAGGTGTTTCCTCCCTCCGTCTTCCTGTGTGAAAGAGATGAACAGATAGTGAGGCACGTGCACATCTCGTAAAGGAAGCAGAAAACTTGAGTTTAATAGCACAGAGTCTGTTTTGTACATCCTCACTCTAAACAGCTCTTTACACAAAAAGCATTTACACAACTAATACTACTGTACTCAAGCCCGCTAACATTAGGCTAATTATTATATATATTAGGTATATTATGTGTATTAGCCGAATGGCTCATTTCTGCCCACATGAACATTTCTGGAAACTTTAACACTCTTTTCTTCTTTCCTGTTTGTTTCACTGTAGTTTGCTGTTTGTACTTTAACACATTTAATGCCATTTTTAACACTCTTAATATTGTCTGCAGTGTTGTAACTGTTATATAATACTGTAATACTCAGACAGCACTGTGCTAATGCTGCTAGCTAGCTGGCTTAGTTACAGGACCTCCTCAATATTAAAACTGTTTAACTTTAGCCAAGCCGCTAACTTTAGGCTTATTATCATAAATAACGAACAGACAGCTTTTCCCAAAACCATCCAACCATATAACGATATTCCTGACTACGGTGTTTAAGTTTAAACGGTAAGTTTAAGCGGTGTTTAAAGCACTTGTTGCTTGTTAAGGAGAAAACACGGTAACTCACCGTTCCAGGGGTCAGACAGTCCACTCCATCCGGGCTGAGAGTCTTCCTCCTGGAGCTGCAGCGCCGCGCCTTCTCCCCACCAGCTCATCACTGGCCATGCAGGGAGAAAACCCCAGAGACAGAGCTGGAATAAAATCCCAGAGACAGAGCAGGGAGAAAACCCCAGAGACAGAGCAGGGAGAAAACCCCAGAGACAGAGCAGGGAGAAAACCCCAGAGGCAGAGCAGGGGGAAAATCCCAGAGACAGAGCAGGGGGAAAATCCCAGAGACAGAGCAGGGAGAAAACCCCAGAGACAGAGCTGGAATAAAATCCCAGTAGTAGTGCAGGAATAAAATCCCAGAGACAGAGCAGGGAGAAAATCCCAGAGACAGAGCTGGAATAAAATCCCAGAGACAGAGCAGGAAGAAAATCCCAGAGACAGAGCAGGGAGAAAACCCCAGAGACAGAGCTGGAATAAAATCCCAGTAGTAGTGCAGGAATAAAATCCCAGAGGCAGAGCAGGGAGAAAATCCCAGAGACAGAGCAGGAAGAAAATCCCAGAGACAGAGCAGGGAGAAAACCCCA